TCCCACACAAATCCCTCTCCACAAATTAACCTGCTACCATCCTACATAACAACTCTTTCAACTAACTTATAAACATAGCGTGAAGCCAGCAATTTGAAGTTGGCTATCGTTTCTAATTAATTGGTGTTACATAGTAACCGCACGGTATTCAGGAAAGTTACCAACCCCATGAAAAGGCCAGTAACAGAAAGATAAGCTACTTTTACTGTCAACTTTCATAGGCTACATTCATCCTACACTCCGATTTATATAATATTCGACTGTGTAAATTACAGTCGTTCCTAATGCAACGATTCCTAGTTGTTGCACTATCTTGATTCATGTTAAATATTCTCTGCTCGGTTTGAAAGTTTTAATTAATCAGAACCTGCAGTAGTTATTTTACGTATGTGCATAACTCATTGATAAGATGATTTTCTCATCCAATATTTATTGCATGTGTATATTTGAGAAAGTAGCTTATGTTGATAATTTATGTTGATTCTTTGTATTATGTATACATGAAGGATTATATGAATAGTAAAAATTATGTACATTAATAATTTTTAATAAAGATGTAAAATAACGATGAACATCATTAATAATGTTTTTAGTGTTTCAAGATTTGAGGGATATTTCGTGTTTTTTAAGATTTCTCTCAAAGTGATTTCTACAGTAAATTAATTATTACTTCGAGTATTTACTGAAATAATTTCTGTCTTTCATTCTTTGTGTCGTTTCATAATTTTAACACTTATCAAGTTTATAATTTATAATTGTATGTCTGTCGAGTTTAAAATTATTGTTATCTAGGTTTCCACTTTTCTGTCACTGATAATTAAAATTAATTTCATTGCATTTTTAGAAACTTATTGATACAAATATAATTGTAATCAGTGAATAACTTAATAGTTTCAATAAGTCAATAATATGTAATTGAAGGTTTATTGATTTTCTGTAATTCATTCTTGAGTTAATTTTTAATTTATCTCCACATGTGGTGGACAAGAGAAGTGTGTGAACCAAACACGTGTCTCCTGCACGTCTGAACGCATGAATCTAGCACGTTTCGCCGGTCGTAGCACGTAATCCACGTTGGTTTTCAAGTTTTATCGATTTCGAACCAGGAATATTAGCGTTGATTGGTTCTATGACGTAATCGAATAATCAACTTCCTCGTTCTATTTCGGCCATAATTACGTGATGTTCGAACGTTTCATTGTAATCCTAACTACAAGTCGAATCTTTCATCGAAATTAACATTTAACAAGACTTTCTCTATGAAAGATTATTGTTGTTCCTTTAATTTTACACTTTAATGATGTACTTTTACATAATTATAATTGCATTCCTAATTTTAATTCTTTAAAAATTGTATACATTGCAGTGGTTAAAATTATAGAATACGGAAAGTGAAAGATATTTTATGGAAGAAATGTTATGAAGAAAAATAGAATACTGTACTTTGATATTTGTTAACATTTAATTGAAATCTTCAAATCTTCAATTCTCCAAATTTCCAAATCTCCAAAGTTCCAAATTTTCAAATCGTCAATTCTCCAAATTTCCAAATCTTCAAATCTTCAATTCTCCAAATTTCCAAATCTCCAAAGTTCCAAATTTTCAAATCGTCAATTCTCCAAATTTCCAAATCTTCAAATCTTCAATTCTCCAAATTTCCAAATCTCCAAAGTTCCAAATTTTCAAATCGTCAATTCTCCAAATTTCCAAATCTTCAAATCTTCAATTCTCCAAATTTCCAAATCTCCAAAGTTCCAAATTTTCAAATCGTCAATTCTCCAAATTTCCAAATCTTCAAATCTTCAATTCTCCAAATTTCCAAATCTCCAAAGTTCCAAATTTTCAAATCGTCAATTCTCCAAATTTCCAAATCTTCAAATCTTCAATTCTCCAAATTTCCAAATCTCCAAAGTTCCAAATTTTCAAATCGTCAATTCTCCAAATTTCCAAATCTTCAAATATTCAATTCTCTAAAGTTCCAAATTTTCAAATCTTTAATTTTCCAAATTTCCAAATTTTCAAATTTTCAATTCTCTAAAGTTCCAAATCTTCAAATCTTCGATTCTCCAAATTTCCAAATCTCCAAAGTTCCAAATTTTCAAATCGTCAATTCTCCAAATTTCCAAATCTTCAAACCTTCAATTTTCCAAATCTCCAAAGTTCCAAATCTTCAAATCGTCAATTCTCCAAAGTTCCAAATCTTCAAATCGTCAATTCTCCAAATTTCCAAATCTTCAAATCTTCAATTCTCCAAAGTTCCAAATCTTCAAATTTTCAAATCTTCAATTCTCCAACTTTTCAATCAAATCCTAAAAAATTCTTCAAATCTTCCAAAATTCTTCAAATTCCAAAAATACTAAAAGACATAAAATACATAAATAAATTTGTATCTATATCAATATAGTACACACAGGTGCCGTAATATAACATTACAAGCAATTTTCTCTTTCCTGAATTTATAATAACAGATAATAATAGATAAGTATTTTAAGCGTAGACAGTTTAAAAAGTAGAGTATCGGTACTCGCTCCGTTAATCTTTCCGTTTTCTCCTTAATGAGCATCGTAAAAGATGGCTGAAATTGCTTCTGCTCATCGCCGGTGATTTCATGAGAATTTAGAACGCCTCTTCTTTTCCTCTGTTGATTAGTATGCATTAGGGTACACGCGTTTCGTTCAAGTTCGCACAAAAGCACGTTTGTCGGGCGTGGCACCAAGAAAGCCGGGAAAGTGATATCTCTTTCCTGTCGGTGTGTTCTGTTCGATTCAGGAACGGATTGAGGTTACTTCTAACCCTGTTACTTCAACGACAGTGAAATTAATATACTAACTTTATATACTTTATTTATTTCAATCACTTCATCAATTTTTCTATTTCGAAGATATTCAATTTTTGGTTCAATCTTTTTTTTTTTCTTTTCATTTTAGTTCAATTTTTTTTTCTTTTCATTTCGGTTCAATTTTTTTTCTTCTTATTTCGATTCAATTTTTTTTTCTTTTCATTTCGGTTCTTCGCCATTTTTTCTTCTTCATTCTTCTTTTCAATTATTTTTCCTTTTATTTCTTTTTAAATTCTGTCGTATTTAGTAGGTGGAGTATTTATTTTTTGTAGGTAAAACAAGTCATTTTTTGTTTCAATAATTTTTAGTTTTATCTCTCTTTAAATGTAATGCTCTCTCATACTTATTATTAGGAGTATTCATTATAGTTATTCATTGCAGATAAAATAATTTATTCTTCATTTCAATAATATTTACTTTTAACACTCTTCAAATGTAATACTCTCATATTTATTTGGAGTATTTATTATATTTATTCCTTGTAGGTAAAATATATCATTCTTCGTCTCAATAATTTTTACTTTTACCTCTTCTTAAATGTAATACTCTCATATTTATTTTTTAAAGTGTTTATTATATTTATTCCTTGAAGGTTAAATAAATTATTCTTCATCTAAAAAATTGTTACTTCTATCTCTTATTAAAAATCCTCTCGCATGTATTACTTAAACAATTCATTATATTTGTTCCTTGCAGGTAAAACAAATAATTCTTCATTATAAAAATTGTTACTTTTATCTGTTTTTAAAAATCCTTCCACATTTATTGTTTAAACTATTCATTATATTTATTCATTGCAGATAACATAAATTATTCTTCATCTGAAAACTTGTTACTTCTATCTCTTTTTAAAAATCCTTCCACATTTATTGTTTAAACTATTCATTATATTTATTCATTGCAGATAACATAAATTATTCTTCATCTGAAAACTTGTTACTTCTATCTCTTTTTAAAAATCCTTCCACATTTATTGTTTAAACTATTCATTATATTTATTCATTGCAGATAAAATAAATAATTCTTCATCTAAAAAATTGTTACTTGTGTCTCTTCTTAAAAATCCTCCTACATTTATTCATTCAACATTTCATTATATTTATTCATTGTAGGTAAAATAAATTTTAATTCAAAAAAGCAAGTGTTCTAATAAGAAACATTTAACTTCCCTCATTTTTTAACAATGTTTTTAAAAATAATATTCTCGCGAGTGCGTCAGTAAGAAAGAATCTACCATTACGTAATTCCGAAATTTTACGATGCGGGTGAAACGTGAACTCGACTTTCGTGTTACTTTCGTTTCTAAACACTTTCCAAATTTTTACCAGATTTTTCTGGTTTTGCATGCTTTCTTCGGGTCGTAAAATTCGACTAGCAAATAATGTTCGAAAAACGCGGCGACAAGTTTGATCGACAAACGGAAGTCGAGGTTGGCGCTTCTTGTGCAAGGATAAAGAAATAGTCGATAGAGGAAAAAAAGAGTAATTCTATGGTTTCGTGTGGTAAAATCTATTTTTAGTAGATCCTGCGTAATATCCTTTCTCTTTGAATGAAATATGCTCTTATTCTGTTTTACGCTTTTGGAGAACGGGATGGTATGGTGTCGCGCTCTTATGGTGGAGAACGGAATTATTTAGTTCTTGCTTCTTTAGGTTCTCTGTTACCAGCTAGAAGATAACGGAGTTTTCTTACTTGATCATTACTACATTTTCTATATATTCTTTTACTTAAATTAAAAAAATTTTGTATTAGAACAAAGGAGTTACATTTATTTAAAATCTTAAAGTTTCATTAATATCAAAATTGAAATTGAAGTTTTTCAAGTTTTTCTTAAATTAATATATGGGGTGGTTTATTTTGATGGTGAATTCAGTATAAAGTCAAAGGAGGAAATTTTAAAAAACTTTTATACAATATTTATATAATATGTAGTCTTATAATTATACTTGAAAGAAGCAAATTACGATTTAAGCTTGTATCAAGTGCAGTTAATGGTTCATTTTAAATGAAGATAATTAAGAACAGATAATTTTGTAATTACTTGAAATTTAGCTAGTTTACTAACACTAATGTTATAAAAATTAGTACTTTTAATATTTTGTTCTAAAAATTTGGTACGAATGAAAGAGGAAAAGGATATTTGAAGTAAACTCAGATTGTAGGAAAAGTCGATGCTTTATTTAAGTAAAAATAGTTAGCGAATTTAATACAAAGCGTAAGTACTAACGGTAAGTGACTCGTTGATTAGCTGAAACAGAAAAGAGAAATATAATTTAATAGTTGTAATGCGTGGTTCTTGTTGAAAACAGTTAGCTTAGTTTTATATTTTTATGTTTAAATGAATTATGAGCCCGCTATATTGTAATTTCTACCTTCTAGTTTTTTAGTTTTTAAATTACTAAATTTACAGGTTCCTAAATTTGCAAATTACTGAGTCTCAAAATTCTTATATTCTATAATTTCTAAATTCCCAAAATTTTATATTTCCAACTTCGTAAATCCCCAACTTCCTAAATTCCCAACTTCTTATATTCTTAACTTCCTAAATCCCCAAATTTTTAAATTCTATAATTTCTAAATTCTCAACTTCCTAAATTCCTAACTTCCTAAATCCTCAACTTTCTAAATTCCCAACTTCCTAAATTTCTAATTTCCTAAATTCCCAACTTCCTAAATTCCCAAACTCCCAAATTCCCAACTCCCTAAATTCCCAACTTCTTAAATTTCCAACTTCCTAAATTCCCAGCTTCCTAAATTCCCAAATTCCCAAATTCCATAACTCCTCACTCTCCAAACTCCTAAAACCCCAAATACCTAAACTCCCAAACTTCCAAACCTCCAAATCCCAAATTTCCACCTTCTTAAACCCCACAACACCAAACCCAAAATTACCACCCTCACAAAATCACCTACCCTACCTAACCTACCTAACCTAACTCCTATACCCCACCCTACACATCTCAATAATCCCTACCCCCTATACCCCACCCTACACATGTCAATAATCCCTAACCCCTATACTCCACCCTACTCATCTCAATAACCCCTACCCCACCCCAACCCTCCCATAAACTACCAAAACCCACCATTTGGCAATAGAGAAGGGCTTGCAACTATCCGAAGGCCTGTCGTACGTCAATCCAGTCACGCACTGCACCAGCTGCGGCCTTCCGTTTCTGCAGACCACTACGTTCGTGCAAGCATCATTCAACCTATGCATATCTCCGTCGTTACAAGGAACCTTAGTCAGACTCGCAGGGATGCTTTGCAGCAATGTCCACGCGTTTTCAATTTCCTGTGGCGTATCCTGCACTCCTAGCAACTCTTTCTTTTGACTGTCGATTTCCAGTTGCGAGGCTACGGGTCTTTGGTTCCACGGATCTGGCTCCGCTTTGCTCAGCCAAGGATTGTTGGGATAAGATGGCGACGGTCCGTAAGATGGCGGCGAGGGTCCGTAAGATGGCTGCTGCGGTTGCTGCGGTTGTGAAGGAACGTAGGGTGGTTGTGAAGGAATATAGGGTGGCTGTGAAGGAACGTAAGGTGGCTGTGAAGGAATATAGGGTGGCTGTGAAGGAACATAGGGTGGCTGTGAAGGAACATAAGGTGGCTGTGAAGGAACATAAGGTGGTGACGTCGGATAAGTAGGCTGCGGAGGTAAAGAAGGTTGAACAGGTGACTGCGTCTGCGAAGGAACCGTCGGAAGCGTGGGTCCAGGAGTCGCTGCACCTTTGCAATCGACGTTGTATGGGTAGTCGCAGACACCCAGCAACTGTGAAGCAATAAATTACAGAAATGAGAGGCTGCATAAAGCAGACGTATAAGGCATGCACGGGGAGAAGACGCTACTCCTAAAATGGCGAGTCTAGCGGGCTCATTAGCATAGCCTGCAAACGTGTTCTTAGACTTTAACGGACTACAGTTTAGCAAGATACAAGCTAGATGCTTCAAGACTCTTCTGAACAAGAACGTTCTCTATTTCAATTCTTAAAACAGTAAATTATATAGTTTATTTCAAAATTGAAGCGTAAATTGATGAGTAAAAATTGATTTAATAAATTTAATTTTAAAATGAAGTTAAAAAATGAATAAATGACTGAACATAAAAAGGATGTACAAATTAATTCTTTATCTTGATGAAAATATACCTGGATTTCAAGAAGAGCTTCTTGAAAAATTGTGCAAGTTATAGAGTTTGAAACTTGTGGAGATCATTTGAACGTTTTAGTAGTGTAGTATTAAAAATGATGAAGTTTGATCAATTTTACAAATCAAAATTATTTTACTGACTCTTAAGGGTTAACCTTAGTCTAAATGTTTTTTTTTTAATATAATAATTGAATATTTCAAACACAAGCAAAAATGAATACATAATTTGTACTCTTTATAACGAATGAATTAGAACTAATTTGTAGTATTGGTAGTAGTACTACTTCTACTTAAGAGCTAGTAGTAGTAGTTGTAGTTGCAAATACAAGTTTTTCATGTAAATCATATTAAGTTAATGTAATTATAAAATGTCTGAATATCAACGTAAACTTCAAATAACAATTAGAGATTGTATAACAGTATTTTCGAAACTAGAAATTAAACTAGAATTTAATTTCAAGAAGCAACACGGAAGTAGCCTTTGACCGTGTACGGAGGGCAAGTGGGAGTACAGAGATTCTCACGCTCGCATGACGCATGTCATTTTGAGACTTAAAATTCCGCCAGCGAGTTAGGAATAACCCGAGAATTAAATTCTTACGTCATTGTAGACCAGACCACGAGGACAGCCGAATTTGATGGGCTTTCGGTAGACGCAGACGTAGAACTCTGAGCAGTTCGTCGCACTTCTGTAACGACCGTTCGGTTCGGGGCACAGTTTTGATCCAGGCGGCATAGGCGGCCCTGTAAAAAGAATCACATTGTTAAATGATGAAAAAATTGTTTATCATGCTTTTGCAGTACAGAGATGTAAGTTGACATTGAAAATTCTTTTTGTTTAAAATATTGCTTGATGTAAGAAGAATAGTATATTGAGTTCAAGGTGGAATGAAATTTTAAATGCTAGTCTGGAATTAATTTTTTTATGTTCATTTAAGAGGAATGCGGTTTTCAAACTTTTAATATAATGCGTGGTGTTAAATAATTTGTTCTATGCAGGTAAGAAGATCAGTTTTGTTTAATGACATAAATTTAACTTTTTTAAAAAAATATTTAGGAAGACCATGGAGGAGGAACAGTTTTGCTTCATGATGTAAATTTAACTTTTTTAAGAAGACAATTAAACAGGAAAATTGTAACATAGTATAGTGATAAGAGAGTAGAATGATGGAACTATAAAGTGGTAATGTAATTAAGTAACAAAATGTAAAAGTGGCAGGGTAATCAAATAGTAAAATAGTAAAATAGTAAAGTAGTAAAGTAGTAATGTAGTAAAGTAGTAAAGTAGTAAAGTAGTAAAGTAGTAAAATAGTAACGTAGTAAAGTAGTAAAGTAGTTAAGTAGTAAAGTAGTAAAGTAGTAAAGTAGTAAAGTAGTAAAATAGTAAAGTAGTAAAGTAGTTAAGTAGTAAAGTAGTAAAGTAGTAAAGTAGTAAAGTAGTAAAATAGTAAAATAGTAAAATAGTAATATAGTAATATAGTAAAATAGTAAAATAGTAAAATAGTAAAATAGTAAAATAGTAAAATAGCAAAACAGCAAAACAGTAAAATAGTAAAATAGTAGAATAGTAGAATAGTAAAATAGGAAAATATAAAATATAATAAAATAGTAAAATAGTAAAATAGTAAAATAGCAAAATAGCAAAATAGCAAAGTACTGAAATAGCAAAGTACTGAAATAGCAAAGTGCTAAAATAATAAAATACCAAAAAACCCAAATAGTAAAATAAAAAATAATAGCAAAAGAATAAAATAGAAAAATAATAAAATAAACTACTAAAATAGTAAAACAGTAAAATAGTAAAATACCATAATTATAACACAACTAAACAAAAATACAAAAAAACCGAAAAAGTAAAACAAAAAAAAGTACAATACAAATCTCCACCTACATCCCCACAACAAATACAATAAACTTCAGCAATTTCCTTCCAAATAATCAAACACATCTACTTACTCGGCGTAGGCAGAGGTCGACTACCACAGTTCACATTATAGTCATAGTCGCAAACCAAGGTAATATCATTAAAGAGCAGCCCATCAGGACAAGTTTGCTCCGTAACCACATCGTCCCAACAATTCAAATAATTGGCGCAGCCTTTAGGACTTGGAAATTGTCCCCTCGGAGCGTAGCATCCAGGTGGTGGAGTTATGGATGGTATCGGTGCAATAGTGATAGGACCTGGTAGCTCGTTCGTGTCTCCAGGTCCAGGAATTAGCGGATAAAGTTGTCTCGTGTTCACGTCTTCTGAATCTACTGATCCGGTTATGTTCGTGTTGGTATTAGGATCTTTCCAGCTACCGCCACGGGTGTCTAGCTTTTGTAGATCCACGAGGTCCCATACGCTTTCTAAATCTGTTGGGTGAAGGATGAAATGTGTGATGTTATAATTTTGTTGGCGTTGTTAGGTACATTTCAAGTTTTCAAGGTTTTAATAGCTGAATCACAAAATTTTTAAGTTTTTGATTCAGAAATTTCTAAATTTCTAAACTTGTAAATTTTTTAATTTCTAAATTAAGTAGATTCTTAAGGTTATAAATTTCCAAATTCCTAAATTAACTTTAAAAATTCCGAAATTTCTAAACTTGTAAATTTTTTAATTTATAAATTAAGTAGATTCTCAAGGTTATAAATTTTCAAATTCCTGAATTAACTTTAAAAATTCCTAAATTTCTAAACTTCAAAATTTTCAAATTTCTAAATTAACCAAATTCTCAAGGTTATAAATTTTCAAATTCTGAAATCACAAAATTTCTATGATTCCAATTCCCAAATTCCTCAATCCCTAAATTTCTAAATTCCCAACTTCCTAAATTTCCAACTTCCTAAATCACCAACTTCCTAAATCCCCAACTTCCTACATTTCCAACTTCCTAAATTCCCACCTTTCTAAATCCCCAAATTCCTAAATTCTATAATTTTTAAATTCCCAAATCCTAAATCCCCAAATTCCTAAATTCCCCAAATCCTAAATCCCCAAATTCCTAAATCTCCCAATTTCTAAATTCCCAAATTCCTAAATCCCCAATAAATAAATCCCTAAATTCCTAATTTCCTAAATTTCCAAATTCTCAAATCTCCAAATTCCCCAGATTAGAAATTCCCAAATCACAAAATTTCCAAATTTCTAATTCCCAAATCACACAATTTCCAAATTTCTAATTCCCAAATCACAAAATTTCCAAATTTCTAATTCCCAAATTCCCAAATTCCCAAATTCCCAAATTCCCAAATTCCCAAATTTCCAAATTCCCAAATCACAAAATTTCCAAATTTCCAAATTTCCAAATCACAAAATTTCCAAATTTCCAAATTACCAAATTTCCAAAATCCTAAATCTCTAAACTCTCAAACCCCTGAACCCCTAAAAATCGCCAAAAACCTCCACCCCAAATAACTTCACAGAAAGTGCAATCAAACTACGTTCCAGAACCCCTGAACCGTCCATCAACCTCATCAGTTAGCACCAATCAGCCCGTCCCAAAAAGGAACAAACCCAACAAAAAACCACACAGCAGTCTCACAAGAAAACCCCCCCAAAAAACAAGAAAAATTCCATGAAATAAATAAATATTCTAAAGAATCTCCCTAAATAAATATCCTAAATAATTAAAATTGAATGAAACGACTGACCTTGATGTCGAGGGTGTACCCTGGCATCGATGTTCTCCGCGGTGGCCGCGGTGGTCGTCCGTCTTCTAGCGTGAGCGAGTGCGAGCACAGCGGGCAACACCATCAAGATGAACCTCATGTTGACCTCTGCCCTTCTGATCATCGATAAATCCTTGGGTACAAGCACCCTAAATGCGACCGTCGAATGAACTCGCGTTAACCGTTGAGGGATCGTTCGAACCTCCGAGTCCTTGCGCGATGTCCTGATGCTGGATGGTCTGGACCTGGTCGGTTCGAGGGCTTACATAGGGCATCCCCCACCATTCTGCTCTTCCCGTAGGGAGTAGCTTCTCAGGACCCCAATTACACGGGCGCAGGAGGACCCTGCGGTGGACTGTTGCTCAGGAAGTGCACGCTTCTGCAACGCTCTTCTTGGTTGCCTGCGAAATGCCCCTCCACTTGCTCGTCACCGGGGTCGAAGACGCCACAAGGACGCGTTTCGGTGTACGGACTCTTATTGGAGATTCGAAATGACCGGTCGTGGTTACCTGTTGATCATTCGTCGTTCACGGAACGTATGGTCAAAAAATGGTGGTGGACGACCGCGTAGGATGTCAAGGTCCCTTCAGGATTGTACGGATTCCCCGGCCTTTCGACGGTAACGGTATTGTCAGTCGTTCTGCAGTTCGTACAATTTTGGTATTCTGCCATGGCGATCTGATGCAACTGCAGGGGTCGATGCATGACCCCTAGTTTCTTCGGTTCTTTCTTTAGGAAACTTCTAACAGGAAACTGTGTTTGCTGGGTTTAACGAGCTTTGCGTGGTGATGTGTCGTGTAGGGAATGGTACGGTACGGTCTAAGACGGACGTTTGAATTGGTCTGGAGATAAAGTAACGTTAACTTGGAAATGGTACTTGTAGTGCAATTTTAAGTGTGCAAGATTTATAGTCTTTAACGTAGAGCAATTATTTGAAGGGTCTTACTTAAGTACACCTATGTTATTTTCATTAGGATTCATTTCATTGTGAGGTAACTTTAATTGAATCGGTAGATCTGGATTGAATCAGCAGGCACTTTAATTGAATCAGTAGATGTGAATTGAAACATCAGATACTTTAAGTGAAACATTAGATCTTGATGGAATCATCAGACACTTTAATTGAATTATTAAATCTTGACTGAATTATCAGACACTTTAATTGAATCATCAAATCTTGATGAAATCATCAGACACTTTAATTGAATTATTAAATCTTGACTGAATTAGCAGACACTTTAATTGAATCTGTAGATCTTGATGCTATAATCAGACACTTTAATTGAATTATTAAATCTTGACTGAACCATCAGACACTTTAATTGAATTATTAAATCTTGACTGAATCATCAGACACTTTAATTGAATCAGTAGATCTTGATGCTATCATCAGACACTTTAATTGAATTATTAAATCTTGACTGAATTATCAGACACTTTAATTGAATCATCAGATCTTGATGAAATCATCAGACACTTTAATTGAATTATTAAATCTGGACTGAATCATCAGACACTTTAATTGAATCAGTAGATCTTGATGCAATTATCAGACACTTTAATTGAATTATTAAATCTTCACTAAATTATCAGACACTTTAATTGAATCATCAGATCTTGATGAAATCATCAGACACTTTAATTGAATTATTAAATCTTGACTGAATCATCAGACACTTTAATTGAGTCAGTAGATCTTGACGATCTCACCAGACACTTTAATTGAATCACCATGGTCTTACTTAAGTATCAACATCTTTAATTGAATCATCAGATGAGTCCTCAAGTAATAATTCCTAATGGCACTGAGTCATCAAATGAACATAAAATTGAAATTCACAAACAAGTTCATAAACTTGAAGACCCAGTCTGCTTTGCCTTAATCAAATCTATGTTAACCATGTAAGATATGATCATTTTTTGCTAATATTTATAGCAATTCAGAATTAACATTCTTAAATGAAATTCCTTATATAATTTTGCATGTAGATAATCTTCTAGATAATTTCCAGAAACGTCAACTTGTACAGACGGTATAACACAGCACATTGTAGAAGAGTAATAACATATCCCAGCGTAGACACGGCTAGTAACCTCTGACTCCGAGGCTACACTTCACCGTCCGCGACAAAGAAACTTTTGTTATTCCGTAGAGGAAGGACAAAAGTCACTGTCCGCGCGAACGAGCGATTAAAATACAGATCAAGTTCGATTCCACGATTCGGGTAGAACGTCGGAATCTGGCGAGCTTCCGGTGTCCTTGGAGAACTGACGCAACTCGACAGACAGAAATCTCGATCGTTGAACTTGTGAATCTTACTGCTGGAATGCACTCCGCTCTTTGAAAGACACTCATTACCGAAATGCATTCCGATATTCAGGATCCTTAAATGAACCTTCTTTCCTGGTGTCCGGCTTCGGGATATTGCGTGAATTTTATGGAGCGGGTTGCGTTGCCAGGACCGGGCCTCGTCGTCTTTTTTATTATCCGGCAATAAGGAAGATTCCTTCGGCGAATAAACAAGAGAGAGACGGAGACAGAAATAAAGATACAAGGAACGAATCCACGTAATCCTGAAATCCAGATATCCGTGCTCGATGGACCCACGGGTTTTGGCAAGAATACCGCGTACGCTCGTGAGTCACGCGTGACCTCAGCACTTGCTTTTCCATGCGCGAGGCACATTTTACCGAAACAGTTAAATGACACGATATTTTCAGTGTTTTCGAACAGTTTGTTGCTCCCTTGTATGTCCTTATCTAGTAACGAGGAGGTCGATAAACTTCGACCCACGGAAGACACACCTTCTATTTTTATATGGGCAGGACTGAATTTGGATACTTTTGAAATATTGATGGGGAGAGGTAATGTTATACGTTTGATTTGTGCAGGGTCATTCATGGTTAGTTAATTTTATCAATTTTTGGAGAGGGTTATGGGTAATTGTGTGGTTGGGTTGTTAGGTTGGACTGGAGTGGTTTAGACTGATCTTAGATGTGGATGAATCATATGTGAGGTAAGGTTCTCGAGTCTCTAAAGTCCAAATCTCCAAATTATTAAATCTACCTAAACTCCTAAACTCCTAAACTAATAAACTCGTAAACTCGTAAACTTCTGAACTCCTAAACTAATAAACTCGTAAACTCGTAAACTCGTAAACTCCTGAACTTCTAAACTTCTAAACTTCTAAACACCTAAACCCTTGAATCTCTAAATCCTTAAATCCCTTAATTCCCAAATCTTTAAATCCCCAAAAAGTCTCAAGTGCTAAAATTTCCAAATCCCCAAATCCTCAATTCTCAAAATCCCAAATGTCCAAATGTCCAAATCTTCAAATCTCCAAATCTCCAAATCTCCAAATCCTCAAATTTCAAAACCTCACATCCTTGAATCTACAAATCTACAAATTCCTAAAATCCTAAATCCTTGAATCCCTAAATCTTCGAATCCCTAAATCCTTGAATCCCTAAATCCTTGAATCCCTAAATCTTTGAATCTCTAAATCCTTGAATCTCTAAATCCTTGAATCCCTAAATCCTTGAATCCCTAAATCCTTGAATCTCTAAATCTCTAAATCCTTGAATCTCTAAATCCCTAAATCCTTGAATCTCTAAATCCCTAAATCCCTAAATCCCTAAATCCCTAAATCCCTAAATCCTTGAATCTCTAAATCCCTAAATCCCTAAATCTCTAAATCCCTGAATCCCTGAATCCCAAAATCCCAAAATCCCTAAATCCCAAATTCTCCAAATTCTCCAAATCCAAAAAATCCTCAAATCCCAAAATCCCTAAATCATCCACCTCTACCTCCCGAACCAAAAACCGAAATAAAACAGCAAACCCCGTAAATTATATATAATAATACACATTCTCTGTCGTGTCAGTCCTACCGTTCCTTCCTTTCATAAGTAGTATCTTTTTCTCGGCCCGCTATTTCTCGCCCACGTTTTTCATACCCACCATGTCTTGTTTTTCCATTTCGTTCATTTTGGATAGCACGCCGTGGGCTCTCGACTATTCAGTCTCGCTATACGGCTATTCGTTGCGGGCTGCTCGGTTTGAACGGGAACCTGACCGAAACAAGAGCAAAACCCTGGAGCAGGATCGAACGTGGAGAGGAACGATACTCGGTTGGCAAAATGAGAAAGGATCGACGAGATTAATTCGACCGGTGAAATAAATGATAACGGTGTAAGCTCGTTGGATATATGTCAGATTAAGTTCTGGCGTCAATTTTAATATTTTTTACATGACTCGTTGGAGAGAGAAGATCATTGGGGTGGCAATGTTCGGAGTCAATGTTGTAATCCTGAGTGACTTTATGGAGAGTGATATATTTACTGAATGTGATACAGTTTCTTAGGTATTGATATTTTTAGATTTTTAGATAGGTAGATAGGTAGATAGGTAGATAGCTAGATAGCTAGATAGCTAGATAGGTAGATAGGTAGATAGGTAGATAGCTAGATACCTAGATACCTAGATAGCTAAATAGCTAGATAGCTAGATACCTAGATACCTAAATTGTTACATAGATTGCTAGATTTTTAGATACCTAGATACCTAGATACCTCGACACCTAGATACCTAGATGATTAGGTAGGTCGCTAGATTTCTACATCCATAAGTACTTAGACAGCTAGATATTTACATCCCCAGATATGTAGCTCAGTGGATACTTAAACCATATGATAGGTAGATCCTCAGATAGATACCTAGGTCCCTAGATATTTGGGCTACTGGATACTTAGATCACTGAGTACCTAGGCTACTGGATGCTTACATCACTGGCTGCTTAAGATGACTGGGTACCTAGATCTCTAGATTCCTAGGTTAATGGATATTTAGATCACTGGATACCTAGTCTCTAGATACCTAGCTCACTGAATACCTACATCACTTGATACTTAGATCACTGGACACTTAGTCCAGTCCTGGTCCCTGGACACTTAGATCACTGGCTACCCAGAACCCTTGATTCCTAAGTTACTGGACACTCAGACCACTGGACACCTAGATCTGGACAATCCTATACTAGACCTTAATTTCTACATCTGATGTCGTCCTTCACTCCTCCAAAAACAACCACACAAAATACTTAACAAACCCAAAATAAAATTGAAGTAAACCTAAACCAGTCTAGCAAACGAACCAGGTTTAAAATCATTCGAACGTAAACTTTACATTGCTACCGATCATACCCGGTTTAATATCGTTTAATTACACTTTTGCCAATTTATCTCGAGCACGAACAAATTACTTATCTTCATCTGCGCAAGTAATTACCTCATACCCAAGTGACGAACATTCGTTTCATATCGCGTGTTCAACAACCAGTCGAATAAAAGAGGAGTACAGGTGTGCGTACAGCTATATTTGGAGAGAGAAGTTTCTTTTTTCATCCGTGATTTGTCGACGTATCCGTGAATCTGCTTAGTAAACACAGCTTGAGCCGAGTACGATCGCGGAGATTGTACGAAGTTATGAAGTTTCAACGAGTCTAACAGTTAACGAATTCACGTCACGAATAACCACAGTGTTTCACATATTATCTCTGCACGCAGGAGCTCGCAGATCTTCCCTGCCCCTCCGCGTATGTTCCTAGACAGCTACGGTAATATGTACAATATGTGACCGGCTATAAAAATGTTATATGTTGTACGTATTGTCTTCCTACGTTAACGAATGATGCATATGACACTGTACGCGGAATGCTAACGGGCCGATATTAGGAACGGGTGGGCGACAACTTAAGGCATTATCGTTTGGCCTCGGTTTGTTGATGATTGGCCAGTGGCGTAACTAGGGACTTTGGGTATTGGGAGATACTTGGGAATTTGAAGATTTATGTGAATTTGGGACACACATCCTCAATTTGAAAGTTTGGGGAGTTGAAAAATTTGGGTTTAGTGATGTGGGAGTTTGGAGGTTAGGGAATTGGGAGATTAGGAATTGTGGATTTAGGGAATTGGGAAATGAGGAATTGAGGAATGTGGGAATTGGGGAATGTGGGAATGGGGGAATGTGGGAGTGTGGAAATTGGGAAATTATGGAATTGGGGTATGTGAGAATTGGGGAATGTGGGAATTGGGGAATGTGGTAATTGGGGAATGTGAGAATTGGGGAATATGGGAATTGGGGAGTGTAGAAATTGGAAAATGTGGGAATTGGAGAATATGGGAATGGGGGAATGTGGAAATTGGGGAATGTGGGAATTGGGGAATGTGGGAATTGGGGAATGTGGGAATTGGGGAATGTGGGAATTGGGGAATGTGGGAATTGGGGAATGTGGGAATTGGGGAATGTGGGGAGTGGAGAATGTGGGAATTGGGGAATGTGGGAATTGGGGAATATGGGAATTGGGGAATGTGGGAATTGGGGAATGTGGGAATTGGGGAATGTGGGAATTGGGGAATGTGGGAATTGGGGAATGTGGGAATTGGGGAATGTGGGAATTGGGGAATGTGGGAATTGGGGAATGTGGGAATTGGGGAATGTGGGAATTGGGGAATGTGGGAATTGGGGAATGTGGGAATTGGGGAATGTGGGAATTGGGGAATGTGGGAATTGGGGAATGTGGGAATTGGGGAATGTGGGAATTGGGGAATGTGGGAATTGGGGAATGTGGGAATTGGGGAATGTGGGAATTGGGGAATGTGGAAATTGGGAAATGTAAAAATTTGGAAAATGTGGGAATTGGAAAATGTGGAAATTGGGAAATGTGGAAATTGAGGAATATGGAAATTGGTGAATGTAGAAATTGGCGAGTGCGTGAATTAGGATGTGAAATGTAGAAATTAACTACTAAAAAATCTTCAAGCCATCAATCCCTCAATTAACAGTCCAATCAATTCAATAAAATGTCTCTAAATGCAATGACAGCACGATACGAA